CACTTCTCAGGTGCCAAGATTACTTAATAAACAATTTTTTGAAAATTTTTTGAAGAATCTGACTCTTTTACATGTGCACCATTGATCAATGGGTTTGGAGAATGTGTCCCAACAGCTAAGTCACAGTTTCCCTTTTTTAAAAGACGTTTTTACCTGTGTTTATGGATGATGGCATTGAAGAGCTTGCCATCTCTCCAGCTGGTGGTGAAGTTATCACACCGCAGGTCATGGTAGCCCTCCACCATCCGTTGAGACCACAAGAGCAGCTTCTCCTTGGCAGTCATATCATCTGACTGGCCATTCACCTGGATATCGGAGATCTGATGGAGCCAAGGTCAGAAAAGTAGAATCAGAGTCTGAGCTAGCATTTATTAAAATGTATCCTAGTTATTGAATAGTAACCACAGTTTAACCATGGTGACTGCAGTAAAACAATAGATAGACCATATAAAAATGACAAGGTACTAAGAAGACAAGAATACAAATTCTGTATTATTTTATAAAGAAATTATAGACTAAACATATTTAGAAAAGATCATTTCAACTGTCATAGTAAAACAAAAAATGAATTAGAATCAATGTAAATATGGTTTCAATAAAACAAATCATGTATTATAAAAAACAATAGCTGAAATATATATTAAGAAACTAAATATTATCTAATCGTAAACTAAAGTAAAATATGTAAAAAAAAAAGAAAGAAAAGTAAAATCAATGAGAATGTGGTTTTAATAAAATTATGTATTTGAAAAAATTCTAAACATAGAAACTATAAAAACAACTTTCATAGCACAATAAAAAATGTACAGTGTGATAAAATCAAGTGCTTCAGTAATACAAATGATGTTTTATACACAAATACCACAGTTACTGCAGTTGTTCCTGTATTAAAACAATGGAAATATTAGTATTATGATATTAGTAGTGCAAAATGCTTTGAATCGTTCTTTTACAAACATATACACAAAGGCAAAGAGTATGAAGTTTGCACTCCATTCGCTAAATTTCAGTTTAATAGTTTAAAATGAGAACTTTTCCAATAATGAAATACTATACACTATGATGCTGAGGGAAAATGATATAGCATTTCACAATTTGAATTTGATTAAAAAACAGTATGCCTAAAATACCCTCACTGTTGCCAAGATACTACGGACAAACATTGTGGTTAGCAGTGATCATAAGATTCGTTTATAATAAAAGGCTTGTTCAAATTTCAGTCTGTGATTCTGCATGTGTTTGTTCCTCTGGTGACTCATCGTCAGGATTCCCCTTTGGGTAATAACCGCTTAACGGCTAAAATCAAGTTTCCTCCTATTATAAGAGTTTTGTAGGGAAGTCTGGTCAGTCTAAACCTCTGAATCCTTACATTAAGGATGTACACAGTGACTCAGACATGGAGACACATCCTCCACCCTCGCAGCATAGCTTTACGAGAGCCAAGAGGGGCATTTAAGGACCTTTTCAATGCCTCTCATTTTAAAATATTTTTAGCGGTGACTATAAGCCCAACACTTCAAACTTCTTAAGAAAGTTATTG